AGAGGGAGAGAAAACACTAAACACACAGCTCCTATGGCAGAGCCGTTCCGCTTCATCATCATGCTGTGACCAGTTGTGCGTAGAGACCGGAGCCAAAAAGAGTCCGACCGCCAACCGGGTTTTGATCCGCTGTTGTAGGAGTTTGCGCTGCAGTGATGTCCCTGCGCTCTTAACGGGAGGACAAACACACGGAGAGAAGAGAGAGAAGAAGACGCCGGTTTATTGTTGTCGCCTGGTCCGCTGGACTGACATCGCATGGGGACATGAACAGTGTGGATCCAGCCTCTAACAAACTGTTGACTTTCAATCATCGGTAAAAAACAGCAACGAAAACATCCTACTTTTACCTGTGCTTCTGCATGCTACCGCTCATCTGTTGAATGCATAGCTCTCTGTCGTCGCTCCTTCACATACCTGCAGCACTGGCTTCTTTTATTCTGCAGCCCCGAGCAAATGAGACAGCTGAAGACACCTGCTCCGGTGTGCAGACCATTTATGCGTAAAGTGCCATTTTTGCGCTCTCGGATCGTCTAATAACGTTAAGAATAATCCACTGTTTGGGTCGAGTTTTGATACTAGTTATGTATGAAGTGTTTTTTTCCGTTTACCCTGGCACGGCTGGCAAACGGAGCCCTACTGAATCCACAAGTCTCCAGTCTGGAAGTATTGACGCTTCACATCAGACTCTTTTTAGCCACAACAGCTTTTAATTGAACCACTGCGCTGGTTTATGCGCAGCTTTGTCGCCAGTTTTATGAAACTGAGTCTGTTCATCTGTGCGGATATTCTGTTCCTTATTAATTGTGCAGATATTTCAGTATGCACAAGGACAATTATGAATTATGCATAGCAAGCTTTTCTGTTCATGGTAGAGTGGAGGTACATGCAGCTCTGGCATTATGACAGCGACATAATAACGTATGCAGCCACACTGAAGGCAGGCATCTGGTTTAAACTGTACAGCTGAGTTCAGATGTAGTCCAGGGTTACTTAGTATGGTAGCTCATTTCCAGCCTCTTAGATTGTTCTGAAAATGCAATGCTGTGCAATGCAGTTACACCTGAACAGAGAGAGATCATATGGTGATCATAAAGCTCTTATGGCACAGTGCTGCCAATAGCAGAGACGCCTGCTTTCCATGCTGCACCACTGGTGCGGAGAGGGAGGAGAAGAGCCGGAGATGTCAGGAAATTTCCATGAAATGCTCCTTTTGTTATGAAAGCCTCTCATGACTTATCATATTGCTGTTATGGCATGTTTTGGCTTATTTTTTTTTCTCAGTTTTGTGTGAGAGTCATCTGCATCTTCATCCAGCTCATCCTCATATTTTCTATTAGTTTTATTGAGAATAATCTAGAAGCTCTGGTAAAAGTGTCCGTACTGTGCATGTAGCGCACCAATCTGTAACTGTAACTTTTTTTAAATTGATTTACTAATTAAAGTCTTAGCGGATGAATTCAAATTGGATTAAAGTTGCCAAATTGAACCTCATTTTGGAGGAAATAAGACTAGTGCTATTGTTCTACATTTTAAGGTCACATGATTGCAGTCATTTCTAGGAACTGCAGTAGGAAACAGTCATTTAAATTATTGAAATCACACATTTAATTGCCAGATGTATGTATGCGACAGAAAGCTGTAAATTCTGGCTGTTGGACCTTTTTCATACGTGTCATTGTTGCTCTCAAAAGTCTTGTTTTTGCTTCTGCTTGTTGACATCGAGGTCTACACAATCTCAAAGAGGGCCTCTTCATGGAGTGATTTAAAGGTTTAAAGAGTCGTTCCGTATTTAACATAACCGATAAAAGGATTGGCTTCTTTTCTTCGGCAGCATGAGGTTTAGTATGATGGGTGACAGTGTGATTTATGCTTCACATTTCACTGTACTCTATGGAGCCTTTCAGTGGCGACTGTCCATTGTCTTGTGATAGAAACCACAATTTGTAACCTTTCCCGTACTCCATTACTGAGGGCAGCAGTTGAGTAATGAATATCTATTTTACCTCTGTTCTGTTTCAGAGCTATTTCTCTTTGGTCCAAGCTTTCAACGTCTTTGGCAAACAGCCATTACGCTGCTGGAATGAGAGTGAACCTTTTGTGGTGCAGAGTTCAAGTTATGATGTCCAAACACATGGGCAGCTTTGAATGCTGGATAATGGTCTCAAATGTCCAGCAGCATGTCAGGACTGTAAGGCAACGGGACAGGTATTTTATCAATCGCTCTTGTAATCGCAAGACTGAGAGTCTAAAGCCATGCTGGTGGCTCTGTAGTCTGTCGGTTGAGCTTTGAGCTAAACGCTAATGCCGGTATGCTAACATACCCACGATGACAATGCTAACATGCTGATGTTTAGCAGGTATCATTTTTACCATGTTTACTGAAGTATTTGTGTATGTTAGCATGCTTACATGTACTAATTGGCACTAAAAACAACATGATTGGGACAAGTTTGTATTTCCCCCAAGAATAAAGTATCTTCTATCGGTTTCAGACCTAAGTTCTGGTATATAAAGCAATACTTCCTGACAGGATGAACAAGCTCACACCTTAAAGGATCTTTTTCTTTGTTGCTTTAATTCTTCTAACATGCTATACTTGAAATATAAATATGTCATCTCCACTGCGTTGCACTCCCAGAGCTCTGACAGGTACATGTTCCTCATTACACTTAAGGCACTTTACTTCTTCGGCTCGTTCCACCTCCTTGATAGGTGTCGGCAACAGCTTTTTGGTCTGACAGAAACCACCTTGTGCACAAATGGCTCTTAACTCACCAAGGGCTACACCTCCTACATGTGTTAAAATATCTCTCCTGTGTAAAGAGAATTTAACACTGAACACTTTTCCCCGAGTACAAAGGGAAGCATTTTAAATCTGGCAATATACAGCCAAGTGTTTTGGTTTTGAAAACATATCTTTCCTTGTGTGTGAGTGACTGCTTTGTTGCAGCCAAACCAACTAACTAAGGTTATGAAACAGAAAAATCCCTCTTGAACCATAGCGACTAGAGAGATGTTGTTGATGGTATATGCAATTTCAAAAACTCTATCTTTTATTATTACCTTTCAGTTCTGTCTGAACATAAAATGTCTATCCATATGTACCATCCCAAGAAGCCTTAATAGAAGAAGATGAGTTTCCTTAGGAGATAGAGGAGTTTTTCATTAGGAAGGTGGGTGGGGTGGTACCACTTCATCTTCCCAGCACCAAGGTACAATCCTTCTCATGAGCCCTCTCTGAGGAAAGGTGAAGGGCAGGAAAGATAGCAGCCTGGCTGCTGAGAAGAAGAAGTGGGAGCACACAAAGGTAAATGCTGTGATGGAGCACATGTTGTGGTGGAGCTCCAGCAGACCCAACCCCAGTCTATAGAGGAAGAGAGTGGGTCAGGAAACGGTGATGGATACATCCTGTAGCACGAACGCTCTTTAAAATGAGTCCTTTAAGCTTGAGTGTGCATTATATATTACCCACTCTGCAGACAGAGAGAGAGAAACCTCACCAGGGAGGAGATGAGTTAAGGAGAGCTATAAGAGGAGTGGGGGATGTGGTCCAAAGAGACTAAGGAAGCAGAAAGCATGCAGGTCATATTGTCACTCAGACAATCATAAAGACGTATGCGAACATGAAATACCACCCACATGTGCACACACATGGTTTACCACTCGCTGCTGTATAGAGAGAGCTACAGGAATGAGTCTTAAAAGGCGGAGATAAGTTAACATTTCTGTGCTTCCGGTTCCCTTGTCTCCATGTCTGTTTTTTATATTTATTTATTTTTTCATGGGTTTTTGGTTAGATGCCTGAAATGAAGTCTGTGGTTAACACAAGTTTAATTTATTTAAATGTTTTCTTCTATGACATAAAATATTCAGATCATTTTGAAGCTTAAACGTGAAAGATGGTAGTCTCTTTCTATGTATTAGCGGACGTGTCTCCTCTGTGTGCGCATTTGGCTGTTTGACCAGTCGGTGCAGTCCGCTCCCCCAGCCAGTCTCCATCTATCACTGTGGCTTAATTCAATCAGGACCAGCGTCTCAATCAGAACTGGGGTTGGCCGCCGGTCCCGGCCAGTCACCATGCCACCAGCCGCCCAACCACATCAACAGGAGGAAGGGAAAGAAAGAAAAAAGGGAAGAAGAGAGAGAGAGAGAGAGAGAGAGAGAGAGAGAAAGAACGTAGGGCGAACAAAGTAGGCATGACCAAGAAGACAAATTGAGATCCAAGAAAGATGGAAGAAAAGCAGATGCTGCAACTGCCTCAGTTTATATGTGCCTGTGTTGTGTGATGGCCATGTGTCTGACCATGCGTTTGTGTTGCAGCTCTGCCTCGGAGGACTTGGGCTGCAGGCGTGGAGACTTCAGCAGGAAACACTATGGTTCAGTGGAGCTGGTGAGTCCCACCCACAATGCACTAATCTGTTTCTTGCTGTCTTTTATGTCTCACTGTGACCGTCCCCTCATCCTCTTTGTGGATTCTTCTGCTCATCATCTCCCCCTCCCTTTTCGCCTCTCTCTCTCTCTGTTATTGCCTTCCCCTCTTTTTTTTGTTGACATGGACGGACAACAGAGGGGGACTGATGAGTCATGACGTCCTGGGTGTGGTCCAGCGATATGCTTTGCCAGCGTGGATCACAATGGGTGATCGATGCAAGACTCTGCTGCCTGCTCAGCCTCCAAAGTTCATTTGTTTTGAATGCTGCATCACAGTGTGTGTCTTTGTGGTTGGTTACTAAGCTGTTGAGTCGTTATTACTCCACTGTGAGCTGAATGCGGCTCTGTGCATCCCGATAGCCCAGACGCACAGGAAGTCCTACGGTTTCACACTGCAATCGTACTTCCTACCCGCGACATATTGTGGGTTGTTCCATGAGTGCTGCATGCCACGTGTAGACTGATTAGTGTTGAGGAGAAACCACATGCCGCCTATCAGCGCTAGCAGACACACAATGCTGCTGTGCGTGTGTGTGGGGGTGTGTACGTGAGAAAAATAAAGAGAGAGAGAGAGCAGTTTCCAAACACCGTAGTGAGTGTGAGCCAGCATGAGTGAACTGATAGCCTCAGTACTCGCAGTGTGCCCATCACACAGCAGTGTGAGACGCCTCTTCCTCTTCCTCCACACTAGACGCTGTATGCCTTCTTCATCTTTGTATATGCTACACTAGAATTTGATATGAAGGCTTAAGCGTCGTCTGTGATCCATCATGATGGATAGACTTTTAGATATTAAGACAATATGCTTTGGTAATTATTGAAATGGATGAAAAGTTGGAAACAGTTGTCAACTTCCAAGGTTTGATGCTAATAAGAGGGACTGGTTCTGTTAAAATGACCTCACGAGTTGTTCACTGTAGGCTGAACTAATAATTATTGTCATTCATTATTGATTTGTTAATTGTTGCATCTATCACATGTTGCATAATTAAATGGAAACCACTTGTAGTGATCACAGTTTAAATAATTCACTTACACTGTTCATTTAACATAAGGGGAAATAAAATTAAAACTACGCTAATTCTATTTATTTTTTTACTTTACTCCCATGATGCTTTGTCTCGATGTGGCTGCGTTAAGTCACGATGGGGAAAAGAGTCATTTTTGTCAATGAAAAATGTAGTCGACTCGAAGCTGATGACAAACTGCCAAACAGGCCGCAGCAGCAAAACTTTGTTCTCATGGCTGCTAGTGATGGAAACAGAAACCAATGGGCATTGGCACGTGTGGTTGAAGCCGCCCTCGTCAAGTGGATAATAATTTGAAAAGTGTACAGTATCTGTGGATTTTGTGCTAAAGAAATATTTGGGTTATTCGCTGTCCTGCTGCGAGTTCAATAACAGGATGGATACCACTCTCATGTCTGTTCAGTAAAATTGAAGCCAGCGTTAGCAAGTGAGCTTAGCACAAAGACGGGAAACGCCCTCGAAAAGCACCTCGACACCTCGTTTCTTTAATTCATACAAAACAGAAATGTGAAAAAAAACCAAGTCTAATCTTTGGTCCTTGACTCTGCAGTGAAATTACGTCTCTATTTTTCTGTTGGAAAGACAACTATAATTGCCTGTGTGAACATACAAGGGAAAGTGTTTTCGTTAACTCTGGCTCTCACACTGTTTAAGGCTGCGTGTCTCCAGGGGAGGTTTGTGCAAAGATTGGGAACGATTCTGGTTCTGATGCCTTTTAGCCAACAAACAGCTCCTTGTGTTGACGGTATTGAATTTGTGTGCTCACGGTCTGTGTGCCTGTCCAATGTGAAGTGGGCAACATTTCAGCACCTGACATTTCCATCAAAAACATAGAAGTCATGTAATATAAGTGGTGAATATGCACAATTCTGATAATGTATTAATGTTGGTCTCACTTTGAAGATATTTAGCTGCTGATAAATTGCCGTCTCGAAGGAATGTAACAAGAAATGTCAGAATAGAAAAGTAATGTACTGTTATAAATGCTCTTAACATTAATCCTTGTCTTAAATTTGACTTCTGTACATGTTATTGGTGTAGTGTTGGAAAGCCTTCTCTATGCTGCTAGGATCTAATTGTGGAGAGAAATACTTTTTTGTTGCATCTTTTCTAGACACGACACTAAGGCCAGTGTGTTCCAGTGCTTTGAAGAACACGCTTTCAAATGTCTGAACAAAAGTGGGAGACACAGATTCAAAGCAGGGTCTCCCTAATAAGAGGGACCAGCATAAGCAGAGCCGTGACTCATCCTGTGTGTTTGTTTTTTATTTTTGGCATCATTGAAACCGGGTGGCAGTTGCCAATATGAGCAGCTTCCTCCACAGACACCGTTGTGACTGCATGATTCACTCCAGTCCACACAGAAACCACTTTTGACATTATAGAAGTGTGAAGGATCCCGTTGCATTTCAGCACCCTGATGGAGAATTTGAAATGAATACTCTGTTCCAAGTAGATATGTAGGACATATGAAGTTATAGGAAGCAGGGACACTTTTGAAATGCAAAGAACCGTTTTTCAGGAAAAGGTTTGAATAGATTTGCGCAGGCAGAAGACTAACAACCAGGATCCTGTTGACCCAGAGCATCATCTGCAGTCCATCTAAATTATTGTATAGCCTAAGCTACTGCAAGATATTTTATTGAGTTTCCTTTAAGCGAAAGGCTCTGAGTGAATTTGCAAGCAAATACTCCATGATGGCATCTGCATTCAAAGAAAAGAGACAACAACAACACAAACACAAAGGCAACTCCCACCCTGTCTTTAGTCAGTGACAACTTCACGGTCTACTTTTAAAAGCTTAATTGTGTGTTTGGCACTAAAGCTGAAACAATTAAACCCGTTTCATCCTGACAACAGCTTGGAGAGGGTGGCAGTGATTTGTTTTATTTACTTCCCTAGTGAATTGAATTTTCTTCATTTGAGATGAAGGCAGTGACGGATAGGTGAGAGGTGGGCGCTGGGTGTGTGTGTGTGTGTGTGTGTGTGTGTGTGTGTGTGTGTGTGTGTGGCATTGTGTTGAGAGGTTAGCTGTCAGTCTTGCACAGCGACTGGTGAGCAGACTGCTCCACTCCCACCTGCCTGCCAGTGTTACTGTCACTGCCTCGGAGGCTTTTGACTGCACTGTCACACTGAATTTATTCCCACTCTCGGCGTATGCGTGTCTCACCATGTGTGACTGTTTGTTTGTGAGTTCTTTCAAAGCGAGGCTGCATGGCTTTTGCTGAACAGCAGCCACTGTGGCCACAAGTGGCAATTACAAGATTGAGTTTCCTTTCATAAGGTACGATACGTTTAATTCTTTTATTTTATTAATATGTTGTGACATACTTTAATGTAATTTAACTGTAGAAAAAGTTATTAAAGCTACAGTTAAATAGAGATGACCTTTTGTCATATTTGCTCAAATTGTCACTATATCCTGACTGTAGCACATGAAACAGAAAATCTGTGAAAAGATCTCGTTCCTCTGCCTCCTCTTAGTGCTCCTGTTCCACCACACCAGGAGCAAAACAACTACTCGTGAACTCCAATCCAACAGTCAGGGCAGCGCTGATCCAAGATTCTGTTACTGCATTGTCTTTTTCTTTCCTAAAATGTTTTCAGAAGCATATTTTAGTGTAAAATGAGAACGTTTTTGACCCAGCCGCCATGTTGAAAACGGTCGCGCCAAAACCAAGCACCGCCCACCGACCAGATAAACATCTCTCACCCCGTGTTACCTTGAATTCCCCAAAAAACGGAGAAAAGCCTTGATGAATGAAGCAATAGGCCACGTTTAACAACAGCAACTGTCTGGTGCCAAACTAGCAAGCGTGAAACTGTTTTCTTTTAAAATTCGAGGTAACACATGGTGAGTAATTGATATACAAATGGTCATAATGTGGGTGAAATAATCCTTTATAGATTTGTAGGCCTCACAATATCCATATTTAGCTACATGCCAAGATGTGTGGACAGCTTCCTTCTTTACAGGAACACACACTCGTGAGTCATAACTAGAGCCACTGAGGTTAACTATTGGAGAACTGTGGGATAGTTAGATTACAGCAGTATATGGTAGGTGGTGCTCGACACCTAGATTCACAGAGGAACACACACTTGCAAACCCTCCCAGAAGCTGCAGATGACATTAGCTCACCAGTGCTTCTTTAAAGTTTGACAACGTTTTGCTCTGTTTATTGTGTGTGTGTGTGTGTGTGTGTGTGTGTGTGTGTGTGTGTGAAGCTAATGATCACAGGGTTTTCTGAGAGGGCCCTTGTCTATTATTTCTATTATTTGGATCTATACTTGGAGGTCGTTGTTCTGTTTGAGCTCAATTGCTTGTTTGACACTTAAATGAAGCTACAGCGGCGAGTTGCAACTTAAATGTCGGACCAGGGGTTGTTTAGCTCCTCTAAACTCTGCATTTCTTGGTTTGTTTTTCTTCCGTGCTGTCTTCTACCCTTGCAAACTGTATCCAAGTTTCTAAAAGCAAAGTGATGCATGTAATTACTTGAAAATTAATTTGCATCCTCGAAGGTAATTGATTTTTGTACACAAGGTCTAAGAAAACTCAATCATACTCTCCACAAGAATGAAACGGCGGTTTGTCGTTGTAATCAGTATCACATCTAACCTAAAAAAGAAAATCTGTTTAGAGCGTGAAACACCCGTTTAAAGTTACTACATCGTAGATTAAGCTTCTATCCTCTTGTCTCTCCATCTCTCTCTCCTCCTCCTCCCATCTTCTCTGAAACGTAACCAACAGTCTATTAAAGCAGCTGATGCATGGTGCTCTGCTGCTGCTGCACTCTGAGATCACAGGCTTCACTGCAGCATCTGCCCACTCTTGAGGGTCCTTAAAGCTGCTGCACCCTACCAGTGTGATTCCTGGGTGGCCCGATGCCTTCAGTAGGCAGCGTTAATGCTGATCAGGTGCAGTCAACGG